GTCTTGCTCCTGTTACACACACACACACACACACACACACACACACACACACACACACTTTCAGGCACTAAAAATGTTATAAAAGCTATACATAAGATGCACTTGCGTTTGTGTATTCAGTAAGTATTTTCTTGGGTGATTAGGGATGTTGGGATAAAATCTGGGGCTTACAAAGCAGGCATGTCTGCACAATAATAGATATAGGTTTAAAATAACATAAGATTAAGGTCAGAGACTATAAGCACACAGAACACAACACATAGTCATCACAAGACATTGCAGGGAAGACGAAAGCTGTTTAAGACACCACTAGCCCCTAAAGGGAAGCTGCCATGAAGACAAATTTTAAAGCCTATTTCATAAAAAGAGCTTTTGTTTATTTATTTGTGTATGCACGTGTAATGTGTGGGTATGTCTGTAGGATCATGTACATTATGGCATGCTTGTGGAAGTCAGAAGATGACCTGCAGGTATTGGTTGGTTCTCTCCTTCTATTGTGGAGGTTCATAGATCAAACTCATGTTGTTTTGTTTGGCAGCAAGTGTCTTTGTCTGCTGAGTTAGCTCTCTAGTCCCTTCAAACATAGTTTTAAAACCCCATTTTACAATTCTTTCCCCATTTTAAGTCTGTGAGAAGAGAGCACTCACTGCTTGATTGCTACTGGATCCCGAGAATCATTGAGTTCCCCTTGCAAGTTTGCCCCAGCACAGGTGCTCTGCCCATGTGATCGTGCGGTCTGATGGACGTCACTCCCCTGGAGGTGTGCATGTCTTTGTTGGGAGAGGGAGTGTGCAGTGCCAATAGCACTGTGTGACTTTTGATCCTTCTTCGTAAAAAGTGTAACTTTTGCCTGGCTCTGTTGGGGACACATGACTTTGGAGTCTCTATATTTTGAGGAGCCTCAAGCCATAGGGAGTGGTCACATGTGTTAACGCAAAAATCTTAGCTAACCTTAGAGACTGTTGACAATTATGTGGCCAAAGGAGCCTTTGCATGAGTCTGGGTTCTAGCTTCCAAGTCTTCAAGTGAGGGGAGGCATTGTAGCATTCTGCAAAGCCGTTCTCCTGTACTCTCAGAATTCCTGATCTCTAGAAACTGAGGAGATACTAAATAATTATCTTTGCAAGTTAGACATTTTTGAATGATTTGTTATGGAACAATAGACAAATAGTATTTATTTCTCCCATTGTTACTAGCTTCAAGCTTGACTAAGTCATTTTGTTAGCTCTGTTGTGCTGCCTGTTCACTTATAGTTTCCCCCATATTTAAATGTCAAAGCTTCTTAATGTATTACTTATAAAAATTTAAAGATTAAAAAAGTATTTTTTGGAACAAATATTTTACTAGGTGTTTCTGCTCCAGTTAGGGCAGCTACTGATCTGCCTAACCTCTGGGAAATGATATCTCTCGTGCTGTGTTCACCAGGCTTCCCTTGGCTTCCTTTTCCTTCTCTTCCCGTCTTCTCCAGAGCATTCATTAAGCCTCTTTATAGTGTTTTCTCCACCGATTTGAAATTTTCTATTTATTTGGCAATCAGTACCTTATGTTTTTAAGCTGTGAAATGGACACCTGGATACTGTGGGCATGTTTTATCCCTAGCACTCAGGAGGCTGAGAAAGGAATCCTGAGGGTCGGGGGTCAGCTCTAGGGTATATAGTGAGGTTCCCTTCTCAGGAGAAAACCAAACAATCCAAAGGAAGCAGGGAATATATTCAAATGGATTTTGAAATGCACATTTTCTTGAAAATGTCCAAATATATGGAAGAAAATAATAAATTGACCATTAACTCCCTTTCCTCATACAAATTCCTCCATGTTTTCCCTGTTGTATCTACCACTACTCCGAAGAGAGAGAATCTGACTTCTCTATAAGACATTTCTTTGCTTTCAGTTTTAGATTTTTCTTTCTACTTACATTATATTCCCAAGCAACCTAGTATTTATTTTTGTCCTTTTGAAATGCGTGCAAATGGAACAATACCAAGAAAGACCTTCTGTGACTTGCTTTCACACCATCCTTATTAATATTGATGACAGTTCCATTGGCTTTTCCAATTTGTACATTATTTGATTGGAAGACTCTATAAACATTTTATTGTGCCGCTTTGATATGGGTTGTATGCTGCATTTTGCCATTTTATCCAGAGTGTTTGTTCTTAGGCAGTTTTTGTGTGAATGTTGTGAGCATGGTGTGAGAGTATGTGGTAATGTAGGAAATATTAGCTAACTTTAACAGGTTCATCAGATGTATACTCTGACTTCCTCCTAAGCTACTTATCGCATGTCCCATGTTCTCAGCTGCATTTAATTTGCAACCCTTATGCACTGGTTGCCATCATCTGTGCTGGTTAGTTTATGTCAATTTGACACAGGCTGGAATCATCTGAAAGGAGGGACCTTAATTGAAAATGGCCTCATAAGCTCCCACTGGAGGGCATTTCCTTAATTAGTGATTGATGGTGGAGGGACAAGCCCATTATGGTGTTGCCACTTCTGGGCTGGTGATCCTGGATTCATAAGAAAGAAGGATGAGCAAGTCATAGGGAGCAAGCCAGGAAGCGGCATCCCTCCATGGTTTCTGCATCAGCTTCTGCCTCCAGGTTCCTGCCTTGTTTGAGTTCCTGTCCTGACATCCTCCAATGATGAAGTGTAAGCTGGAGAAACCCTTTCACCCCCAAGTTTGTTTTGGTCATGGTTTTCATCACAGCAACAGTAATCCTGACTAAGACAACACCACTGGTGTTTCCCTCTTCTTTATAACCAGAATTATGATTATTTCTTTAAACTTGAATTATGATCAGTATTCATTATTAGGTAGCTCTGTAAACTTTCTGTGGTCATTTTTTCCTTCTGATATGAATTTCTCTGTATTAAACTACATCTTATGTATTTTTTCAAAGTGAACTCCTGTAAACAGACAACAATCTTTTTTTTTTTTTGAAATCTGACTAATGTCATTTATGTACCATTTTTGAATAACAGCATAAGTGTAGTTTAGTGAATTGTTAAATTCTGAGCACTTTGACCGTGTTCCACCATCACTGTCTTGCTTTTATTTGTACGCATGGGTAACGTGTCCTTTTGTGGATGTCTTTGTTGTCCTTTTCTGATTCAGTTCAGGACTGCCATTCTGCCTCGAATGTTCTGTAGTATCATTTGGGTGCATCTAAGTTTTGATTTTTTATTCTTTATTATATGATTTTGATGTGGTTTGAAGAGGACTCATGGCTTTCATTCTAGAAAATTCAAATGCATTGTCTTTTTATATTGGTCTTTCTCTTTTGCACTGATAATTTTCTATGTTGCTTAGCATTTCTATATATTTGAAATAGAAAGGATTTCAGACCATAAATCTCTCACATTTCATAGAAGGAAATATAAAATTCCATTTATTCTAGTCCAAATTATGCTTTCCCAACTCTATTATATTCTATGGAACTAGAAAGAACATGAAAACAACTGTGATACTTTTCTATGCAGGTGCCTGTGTTAATATTCTAAGGGTTATAGCATTGCCTATGACTATGGTCTATTCTTTGGTGGTCATCTGTGAGTGGTAACATATTCTTTGTTGAAGTTAAGAAATGCCAAGGGAAATAGTCCAGGAAGACCTAAAACCATCACTTAGAATATTGAAGGAAAAAAAAACTGTGTAGTAGTTAACAATTCTCAACTCCTGAAATTTTAGGATGAGTGGGAACCTAGCTACGAATATGAGAAGAGACAGAGTACAATACTTTCATAGAACAACTCTGTGAACAACGGTGGATGCACCACAGTCTTCGGAACCTTCAGCACTATCACTTCTCGCCAGTTGTCATTTCTCAGTGTTCTCAGAGATCCCATTGACAAGACCGTGGCTTGTGGGTAGTATGTTTTAGTGAGCGGGAAGTTAACAAGTAACGACTTGATTTGCAATGTGAAGTTGTAGCTTCTGCTCTCCTGTGGGTTTCTCCTAAAAGAAGGCCGAGTTCTTCCCAAAGAAAGGGAGGTTGTGCATGCCTTGGCATCTGCCATCTCCTCTCATGGACAACAAATGCTAAGCAGAACTCCAGGCAGGGCCGTGTACCTTGTATGAATGGAATAATATTCCTGAAGTAAAATATCTTGTGGCAAGTGGAAATAAGCTGTATGAAAAAGATGCTAGCAGGACTAAGAACATAGATGCTTGTTCAGGTTACACGTGCTGTGCTCATGTCTAATATGCCTTCCAACCCCACAGTTTATAAGCCATTCACTGCTGAGGTGTTCATATCCCAAAAGGTTTGGCTATAGATTTGGTGAGGTTTGTATGATACAGTGTACTGTTTTTGTTTGTAACTGTGTTAGCCCGTCTTCCATTACTAATAATACAATGATGGATCAGTTATAAAAATCTCAAAAGTTTATTTGGATAGTGGTTCTGAAGGTGCAAGATCTAGGGGCTGCATCTGGCAATGGTATTCTCATGGCAAAACACCAAGTCTGCTTTACAGATCATCACATACCAGGATCAACAGGGAATGTTGGTGTGTGTGGACATATGCATGATTGTATATATTTCACAAATGTTTTAACAGATCATACTCCTCTTGTAACACACACACACACATTTATACTCTGCCTCTTGTCATCCTTGTCATGGCTATGTGATCTCTTTCCTTCTCTCTATAAAGCCAGTGGGCTTCAAAATTCAATCCTGAAGCCTCTAGCCTAGTAACCTTATTCTCATCTAATGATTTCTCAGTGTCCTCCTCCTAACCAGATTCAGATTAAATTTTCATTCTCTTCATGCCTCATGGTAGAAACTAAATTTTGATACACAAAGCATTAGAAGACATTAAAACCATAGTTGTCTGTGTCTCTGGTTGGCCTTTTGGGCAGCTGTGAAGCACAAGTCAATGGTGTATCTAGCTAGCACCACTTTCCACAACAGATGGAAATTCTGTTGAAAAACATGGAAAGGAAGCATGGTGCTTTACTCTCAAATACCTTAGTCTTTTGTTTTAATCTCCTTGCAGCCTTGAAGCCCAGCAAAGAAGGGAAATCCACTGAGAAGAGTCTGGAAAGGTAAGTGTATTTATTACATGGCCTTGACAAACATTGCCTTTACCACATTGATTTTTCTTTTATTCAGAGATTTAAACACTTGGATTAAAGATACAGCTGACAGGACAACTTCCTTAACCACCTGCTCGTCCCCTCTCTTAGGCAAAAGTGCTGAGCAATAGTTAGTGGAGAGCAGGCACAAATACAATGATGTGCTGAGGGTGGCCAAATGCGATTGCATGTTTGCTGACTTTTGCTTTCCTTTCGGCAGTTAAGACGTTCCAGTAGAGCTAAGTTTACTAAGATTAATGCTCAATGGAGAAAGAATGCACTGGTACCACTCCTGGTCAATATTTAAATAAAAACCAGCTGGCCAAACAAAGCATTTGAAATAAAATGCAGAGCCGCGTTTCAGTCAGGTTGGATGAGATTTATCACAGAAGTGAGTTGTGCAGTTGCGTAGAGGAGCTGGTGTTGTATCCTGGTGACCACCTTCCAGTTTCATGGGGCTGATTACCTTCCACCCAGTCACACTGGATCCTTCCTAAGCAACTTACAGGAAGTGAACTTTTAAGCTCCAAGCAATAGGGAGAAATAGCAGCTCAGTCTCCTGTGAAACATTATGGTTGAGTTGGTTTTTACATGGAAAAAATGTAATTGTTTCCTTTTTGTAGGTATATTTATAAGCATACCTCTGTACAGCAGTGTTCTTTGATTCATTGTTTAATTTCTGTTCTGCATGAAGTATTTTAATTTAGAGAATTCACTCTGAGGAATTATAGGGCTGCGCTTTCATCAAGAGTCTTTGGAGGCCAAGGTGAAAAACGCCATAATTTTACATTTGTTTTCATCATCAATTATGTTTTTGACAATTTTAGTTTTTTTTTGTCTGTCATTTTTATTATAATAACTATGGCTGTGACCACTTTGGTTAAAGTTGAAAAGCCAATTTGATTTACTTTCTACTTTAACTTATTTTTAACTTTATGACAAACTTGAGTTTTTAATGATCATTTTGAGAGTAAAGTATAGTTTTACAAAGAAATTGGAGAAAAATCTCTTTTGAATCATTAGAGCTAAAAACTGTTTGGAGGATTTACTTTCAGGTGACCAAATTCTGGTGCATGGATCCTGGCTGTCTTTGGAATTTTGATGTAGTAGGTGGCCATAGTAAAGAAATTGCCCTATGAAGATGTAAATGATTCTCATTTTCCCCGCCCTACAGCCCTTGAGCCATTTCCGGGAACATGGAGGCAATTGATAGCATTTAATCCTATGTGCTCACAGCTTACCAGAGTTATAGATGATATAGCTATCTTGGGGACTTTGCAACTAGATGGTGTGGCTTGATGTTCACATTCTTTTAGAGAAGGGGCCGTTTTCCCAGTGTATCTGTTGTCTTGGTGAGAATTCTTTGTTGAGTTGGTAGTCTGGAGTCAGAGTTGGGTTTTGTCTGCTTTAGTTAGTGGACCATGAACAAATTGTTCATTCTCTTTGTGTGTTTATTCTCTTCTCTGTCTGTGAAATGGAGATGAAAAGATAGATACTGCCTCATGTGGTTACTGTGCAAGAGCATGTCCTGCTCCATGATAAGCTGATGTCACCTGCTGCTGCTGCTGTTACTGTTGCTTCCTCCTCGCCCTCCTCTTCCATGTCCTTGCCCCCTGCCTCCTCCTCTCCCTCCTCCTCTCCCTCCTCCTCCTCCTCCTCCTCATAAGTAGTAGCAGCCTTATGAATTTATTAGATATTTTGAAAAGTACATTTTTATTTGTGTATTTATATGTATATGTGTGTGCACATGTGGGTGTGCATGAGTACGTAAGTATATAAGTGTTGTTTGTGTGCATGTGTGTAGGACAGAGGTTGACATCAGGTATCTTCCACCGTTGCTTTCTGACTTACCTTTTGAGACTTCCTCGCTTAACCTGGAGCATACCAATTGGTTAGCCAGCCAGCTGCAGGCATCCTCCTGTTTCTGACTCTCCAGTAATGGGATCGCTAATGGCAGCCTCTTTTATGTAGATGCTGGGATCAAGCTCAGGTCCTACTGCTTGTATAGCAAGCTCCTTATGGGTTGAGCCATCCCCCCCCCCATTGTCTCTTCTTTTAAACTTTAATGACTAAATTTTAAATTGTTTTTAATTATGTCTGTCTGTGTGTGCCTGTGTGTGGGTATGTCCATTTGAGTACAGGTGCCTTTGGAAGCAAAATGTGTCAGATATCCCTGAAACTGAAGTTACTGGTAGTTTTTAGCTACATGATTTGATCTGGGTAGTACGACCTACTGAATCTTCAGTAAGAGCTCCAAGCACTGCTAGGCACAGAGCCAGGGCCAGGTGCCAAGTTCCTATTCTTTTGTTTGTTTGTTTGAGACAGGGTTTCTCTGTAACAACCGTGGATATCCTGGAATGTGCTTTGTAGACCAGGCTGGCCTTGAACTCACAGAGATCCACCTGCCTCTGCCTCCTGAATGTTGGGTTTAAAGACATGCACCACCATGCTGGACTACCTTTTTTTAAAAAACATGTTTCCTGATAGTGTTTTCAAAATGAACTCATTATTACTACCAAAAAGAGAGGAATTCTTGCTTTATCCTCAGGCATCAAATGAGAAGTTTACTTTTAATAGACATGGAGCATGAGTCTGGGAAGATGGCTTAGCAGATAAAGATGCTGCTTCGAACCCTGATGGCAATGAACATTCTGTCTTCAGGCCTCACATGGCAGATGGAGAGTACTAAGTACCACGTGATTTCTCTGATTTCCACTTGTGTCCTATGTCATGTGCAAATATACAGACACATGCACACATACAGAGAGAGAAGAGGGAGAAGTGTGTGGGTGGGGGGAGAATATCAATAAATGTAATTAAAAAAAAAAAAACAACCAAGAACCAAGGTTTCAGAAGCAAAAATAAAAAGGGTCAGGGCTAAGTTTTGTGGACATCAGAGAGATGGACCTGTTTACTGTGTATGGTCAGTTACTCAGTTACTAATTGCTATAATCTTAACTTATAATCTGAGAGAATTAGTGATTTTCTGCTGGGTAGATTGTTAGGAAAGTTTAAAGAGAGCCTATTTCCCCTTGGCCATCTATCTCTTTTCTCTTCACAGTGCTCAGATTTCCTTTGGGTGCATGCTGTAGAAGACTCTGGCAGCCCTGCACTCAGGGTGGCCACAAGCTAACCAAAGTATGTGCTTGTTCTCCGGAATTCAAACCTTTATCTAAAGCATTCTCCCTTGTTGCAGGAGGATATTCTGCCCTGACCATACCTATGAGATCACAGCTAGTAATTCCTGTTAATTGGCTACCATGTCTGTCATGGCCCCTGATGGGCTCCCTGCCGTATTTATAGCCTCCAGTTGCCCTTCAGTAATCTAGTTAGCTAGTTGGTTTATCTTGCTTACAATTTGAGAATCCTAAGTAATAGGTTATACATTAGTGCCCTAGATTTAGAGTAAATGGCTATGGTTGGAGCTTTACAATGAAGACACCATTACCTCCTTCCATTCTGTATAAGAGCTGAATGTTTTACAGTAGATCACCAACATGGATCTCTAAAAGGCACATTTTTGGTGAGCTCCCCATGATTTCAGTCCTGGGTACAAAGAAGTTCCCTTCCAGTGGCTTCTCAAACAGTATAGAATTCTTGCAGACCCAGAGGATAGGCAGGAAAGTCATTTGTTTACTGTCTGGGTTCTTGGGCTCCCTGTGGTTCAGGCCTGCAAAGAGGCTGCCATTTTTTTTTCATTTATCCCAACATCTCAAAACAAAACAATTCTTTGTTTTATTCTTTTCTTTGAATTTTAATTTCTCTTTTCAATATTTTTTATTCCGCTGAACTCTTTTTTGTTAATGTGTAAAATGTGGTTGAAAACATTCTTTGGGCCTCTGGTGTTCCTATGGTTTCCTGAGAACAGAACGGCAAGTTTCCCCTTATGTCTTCTGTATTAACTCCTCCTGTTCTATGCAGGTCCTAGAACAATGTATTTAATGACTGTTCTCTTAGAGACATTACATTTGTTCTCTCCTCTATTGTGACAAAGTAACATGGTTGCATTGCATGCTGGGAAGAGCTTCAGCTAAAATGTTAGGAAGAATGCCTTCAAGTTTGGTCCTGCAGCTTGCTAGCTTTGTGACTCTGGGCAATAGTCCTAATGCTGACATTTCCTATTCCTACTTCTTCTATTTCCCACAGTTTTCTAATATAGTTATATTATGTAATATAGCCTAAACCTATAGGTAATTATTACATTATCACAATGATGTAATTGTTTCCACATTGAGCCAGTTGGTTATTTCTTTTAATGTGTAAATTTTTAATGTATTCTATAATTAAAATGTGGTTTCAAATATTATTTTCCCCAGTGTCTACTAATACCATATGAAGAAGATAGTAGTAGGTAGATCAGACAAATGTTTCTATTTTATTGATATGGAAAGTAAGCCTTAAACTAAGTAGTTTGTCCTGAGCACAACTAGTATCAGATATCCTTAGAGTTAATAGTCTTAATCAGGACAGTTGTGATGAATGCTCTCACTCCAGTTGTTATGCTAATCAGGAGGCCTGTTATGGAAAGCTAGAACGTGCTTGTGTAGCATGCTCAAGGTCCTCACTGGATCCCTCGCTCAGGGTGGGTGGCATGCCCCACAGTACTGATTGCAGGCAGACTCTGAGGAGTTCTGTCTGTATCTTGTCATTCCTTTTCCATAGCTAAGTTGGTGGTGCTCCGTATGAGTTACTACTACTACCATCGCCTGTGACGTACGACCGTGTTGCTTGGGGGCCTCAGTTGTTGAGCAGCAGTCCTGACATCTGTTAACACACCTGCTGTTTGTTGTTTGGTCTGGTAGAAAACAATGAAAATTTAATCCTGATTTTAAACCTTCCCTTTAAAGGACTCAATTTCCCCTGCAAGTTTCCTAAAGTGACTTGGAGGAGAATCCAAAACTGTAGTGACAGAGGACCCCTGATGTCTTCCTTCTGCCTGTTACCACCTCCATGCCTGGCACTTATTGTTT